ATGTTGATCGCAATGGAGCGTGATACATTAACTTGCAGAAATGTTGCAAGAGAAATATTCGAAAAAATATATAGTCAAAGTTGATCAAAAACAATCAAACAAAGTCATCCCGRGGCACAACTCTTCCTTTTGTCTTTTTACTAATTACTATATATTTTATTTTAAATCTTTTGTGGTCTCTTGTCAAACATTTAGGAATTAGGTGTATATAAATCAATTTTTTAATTCCTATTTGGAAAAAGCATAAATATTTGTCAAAATGTTTGTTGATGGTATTCTTTTGATAATCACTTCAGASAGTATATTGGTTTTATAATGATAATTAAATTACAATYGTGGCAGAAATCTCGTAAAACGTTCAAAACATATGACGGAATCTATATTTTAACTTAAAATRGCGATTTGCCAAGTTCGCTTGATGTTGGAACTAAAATATAAAATTTTAAAGACAACAAATTAGATAATAAATYATAAATCAAAGCAAATGCATCATTTTTTTACAGAGAATATAAGCAGATAAATAAAGTGSATTCTAATCKAATTTGTGTAACGTGCAAAATATATCTGATAAAACTGAATAAAAAGCTGTGTTAGCGCGSTTTTTGCATGTTTTCACCAATTTTGAGCAARAACTRGAAACTAAGCACTTTTTTGATTTCTCAGTAGTAGACATTTTACCCGACAAATATTTAAAAGACTTGAATTTTTTTAATTACATGAATAGGATTTGAAAGAAACCGAAAACAATGTCAACTCTAAGTACATCGTGAATGTGGTTAATTATCGTAAAGAAAACACAATTCAAATAATAACAATAGAACATTTCAAAACAATCAAAATTTGAATTAATTTTGTACAAACTCAAACGGTTGACYYGGCCYGCTGTTAGTCTAAAGACACTGCACTTAGCTTTAATAAATTGTTTTTCGTTTTGAATGTTAATATCATTGATATCTGTGCGGTTACGTTTATGGATCTGCAGCCTATTAGAGCGYCGCCATTACTAAAACATGAATTACCAGCTCATGGAATCACCTGCCTGGATCCTTCAAATTTTAGATTTATCTTCATTGCTTTTAGGAATTGCATCARAAAAGAGAATGCAGAAAGTCTGAAAGGCTAAGCTGGTCTACCTAAAAATATGGCTGAGGCTACGACGRTGAAAGAAACAGATTTGGCGAGGAAATCCTCCCARCGCTGGCGGAAAAGCAGAGCCAAACGTGAGTCCGGCAAAAGCGCGGGAAATCACAGATTTGTCGATGGTAAGCTGTTGAGAGTAGATTTCAAGAGTAAATATTTGAACATTAGTCTATTTCAAGAGGGGACTATAACTTAAGACAAGTCCTTCAAGTAATTTAAACAATTTGACCATTTTTTTAATAGCTGACGAATCCATCAGTTTGATGAAGCAGGGTTGCGATTTCATAAAGCTGAGAAATGCCTCCAARAAATATCCAAGAACATACTTTCTAGATGCCGGTCTTGCCAACTTGTGTTGGACGCCATCCAAGAAAGGTGATCGAGCAAGAAGTAAGTACAATTTTACAATATTTTTGTGAATATATTCAAGTTTTGACTTTTTTTCTGTCACTTGTATTTCAATGTATTTTGAGGTAACACCGCCATTCAAAAGAGATTTCTGTCAAGGTGTTTTTCAATTGACACTTTCAATGCTCTCAGTGGAGCTGTCAAAACCAGATTGAAATATTATCGATATTTCTAAGAACTACTATTTCTTTCTTTTGTCAGTTATGCTTTATAATTAAAATRACATCTGGGAATATTTTAAAATTTCACATGTTTTATATATGTTAGTTTTCCAGCAGAAACTTAAAAGTTTCATCGCATTTTTAAACCAGTTTCTTTCGTCACTTTTCGTATCAGAACTCAAAGCAATTAAAACTATAGCTCATAATCTTAAGATAAAATGTGGTCATACCTATCTATTCATAAAGCTATTCATCAAAGCTGAAGTTATTTTGGTGGTTGTCGACGGGGCTCACAGTCAAAGCAGTTCAGTGCTGAGGCTACGAATTATTTGCAATAATTGTCGGCGAGGGACATATCGATTTTTTGATATCTGATACTCGATAATGCGACCAAACGCACGTCATAAAAGCGTATAGACTAGGAAATCAGCGAAAACAAAACAACAAGCTCGCCTCAGGAATAAAAGAAGATGCAGAAAGAATTGAATAACGTACAAAGAATGTTTTAAAATTAAAATTAACATTAACATTAAAATTCTTTAAAGACGTAGAGTGACAATGCTAAAAGAGTATAAAATAAAGAAAGACAGAATTGGAATGAAAAAAAAAGAAAGACAAAGACTAAATAGCTACATTGTAGCTTTGTGTTTAAAAAGCGATGTTAATTCAGACGTTTTGGTCAAGACGATGACCTTCCTCGGTAAATGAAACAAGGTTGCACGCGCGAACTTTAGCTGCAAATTTAATATATATAGTTGAAGAGCTGTTTGAATCAAAAAGAATTATGCAACAAAGAGCTGTTTGAATCAAAAAAGACTTATGCAACAAATTCTGTGAGCATTGGTTAAGTGCGCACAAACTATAATACTAAACCATAGTGCTAGACAGCTCACAATACTGTTTATAGTTTCGTCACAACATTCAAATAGGGAATTAATTGAAGAGAAAGGAATAGAAATTGAAAGAGAGAGAGAGAGCTGTAAAGAAGGACAGCAAAACAGGCAAGAAAAAAATATAAATAAATAAATAAAATAAAATAAAAAAAACCCAACTCAAACACAAAAAAACAGCAACATATAATAGCCAATGATTAAAAGAGTCCGTCGATRTAATCTGACATACAAGAAAAGAATACGGCAAAAACGATGAAGCAAGAAAGTTTAAAGATACTACAAAGCTTTGAAAAAGCTAGTAGGAAGTAAGAAACGATACCTAAACATCTATCACCGAAATTAAGTGGCAAGAAAGGACGGCTAAAATAAAAAAAAATTATGTAACATGTAAAAATGCTGAGAAAATGCGTTAAATAAGACCGCTGTTTCATAATCAAACTACTTAAAAATGTGAATAGAAAGACGAGCTTTTATTAGAGAAATTATAGTTATTTTTATTTATTTTWGCTTCACGATCGACTTTCAAACCGTTWTAGTGCCTGGGAATCAGTTTTTCATTACCAAGTATGACTAGTTTTAAGGCCGCTCACATACCAGGTATAACAACATTGTGATATAGATGCTGTGTACATCAGTATAGCGACAAATTAAACGAAAGCAATTTAGATCCCTTGTGTCCTAGAACCCATTGTCTCACAGGTAGAGTTGCATTAGAACCACAAGGGSTATGTCTATATGAAGTCCCAAAGTCTTGATTTCTACAGATCAACATTAACTTATTTAAAGCTGTGCTATAATATTATAACTATGCCCGTAAGCATTTCTCAATATGAAAGTAACATCTGGAGAAGTGGTTGTAAATCAAATACTGTTATACAGGTTAGCATTGACCTTAAAGATTTTTGTATGTCCCAATTTTTTTTGTCTTTCTAGTATGTAAGTATCATGGCACGATGCTATTTACTGTCAGTAGAGCCCAGCTCGTAATGTGAAAGTCTTCAATGCTGGAAAGTCATCTGAGTGACAATACCTAGGAAAAAGGCAGGCAGTTTTTTTGATAATGAACAATGCTTTTTCATGCTAAATTGAATGTACAGCAGGTTGTTTGTTTTATCGAGATAAAGCCACTTAGTGTCAATAATGAATGAAGGATTARAGTCACCCGCGAGCTTATGGTCGCGTTATGAAACACGCGACAATAGGAAAAACACGAAACGTTTGAAAAGACACGAAATGAAATGCAATGCTATGCACACATCGATCTCGAGTTATTCTGATTATCGCCAATTGCTATATATTACTGGAGAATGCTTATCGACGACAAGTGTGTTATACCATCTAGTATTGTKTAATTGTCGATCTTCTCTGATTTTCATATTTAGTGKTCAAAAATCCTAGGAACTGCGCACTTTGATTGGTTGACGCGCAGTCCAGTTTTTCGTCAGATCACAGTCCTCGGTATCCTAAGGTAGAATTTTTAGCTAAAGACTTACTAGCTTATTGCTATCGATAGTTAATATAATGAAAACAATTATGTCGGTCTTTCCACTACTAAGACCTCGKGCAGTTTKTCCACTGATCTCCATGCCAGTAAATGAGAGACCTTATAAGATACACGGCCGGTTTACGGGTCCGTTTTTCTCGCATTGTTAATATATAAACGTTCATGGTCGACTCGTTCCCAAATGTAATATCATCCGTCTACTCGGTAACCTGCCTGTTTATCTGGTGTGAGAGGTTTACTCGTAGTTATACGGG